CCTCCAAACCCTCGCCGACAGCGAGATTCCGGTGAACCGAAGCTTGAAATGTTCCAAGAAAGATTCCTATCGATCTAAAGCTTTTTAGAAAGTGGTTTCTTCTACAAATAGAAGCGTGGACAATCTACAAGTTCAACAAACCTAAGAACGCAAAAATCCAACGATTAGATCTCTCAAAAACCCTTAGAATATATCACTACATATAGGATAAAATATCTTTCTAAAAAGAGGCTTTTAAGCCAAACAAACATTACCCTATTAATGATCTTCATGTATAGAGCCAATGTTTCAAATTTCATTAGATTTGATTGAGTAGATCGAGAGAAATCACCAAATTATCATTTAGGATTTTGATTTGTTTGAAGTTTGCTCTATGGACGTTATGGACCGCTAATCTTACAATCAACGGTATGGAACATGTTGTTCCGCATGGCCGTTCGATTTCGGGGGGCTCTTGGTTGGACCGAGACATCATGCAGCTCGATCTCGATCGTTGATTCAATATGGCGCGAGATCGAACGGCCGATGACTTTGCTGACTCATTCAAGTAAAAAACGCTTGGGTCCTGTGCCGTCACAATCATTGGCAATGATTGCGCCGTCACGCAATCATTGCAAATGATTGGTTGTTGTTTGAAGCGGTCAATCAGAGCATGCCAATGTTTGGCCGCTATTTTTCCATATTTGATGTTGATTTTTTTGTCCGATGTGTTGATGGGCTTGCTATTGATGGATTAAAACAAAAAAAGTTATTGTAAATTAGAACAAAAGATTAAAAATTATCTCTATGGTCATTTAAAGTTTTGGTAAGGTAATGAGGTTTATAAATAATTTGTTGCGACCCATGACCCGAGTTTGAAATTTTGATGATGACAAATAGTGTTGCCTGAACTACTATTCACTGAATATCATTTATTATTTGCTATTGTCCGTGAGTACTAACATTTCAGGAGGATAATAAGCTATTCAGGACAATAGGAAGACTCAAGACTGGTTAGATTAGGAGTATGAGTCTGACAATGTAATTTGTTATTTATTTTACTTTTTTATTTTCTTGAGTCTGGCCACAAACTGCATGTAAGTCTAAGCAACCATGCACAAACACAGGGAGAGAGGGTTTTAAAAGTAAAAAATGCAGATTTTCTTTCTATGGTGATAGTACTGTACAACTTCATTTTGTACTGTACGATCTGAGGTTGTAAAACAATTTCTGTGAATAGATCGTACCGTACGAATACTATCGTACTGTATGATGTGTTCCAAATTCAAAATCATAGCCGTCAAATTAACTTAAGTTTTTCTCAGCCGTTCGTACTGTACTAAGGACTTCATACTGTACGATTTATTTTAAGTATTTACTTAAAATAACCCGTGATTAGTGGAATAAATCAAGTCTTAATTACTAATTAAAAATCGTACTGTATGAACACATTCGTACCATACGATGAACAGAGAAGAAATTTGGATCGTCCCGGAGATCGTCCTAGATGATCCCTTGTTTTGTCTCATTGTACTGTACGATGTATATCATACCATACGATGAACATAGACGACATTTGATCGTCCCAGAATTCGTCCTAGACGATGCCTTGATTTTGACCATTCGTAATGTACGATATATATCGTACCATACGATGAACAGAGATGACATTTGATTGTCCCGACTATCGTCCTGTACGAGCAGTATTGTTGAGGTTCGTACAGTACGATTTATTATCGTACGATATGATTAGATTTTGAACTATTCGTACACCTTCGTACTAGGACGAAGTCTATTTATACATGTCGTATTGTACGATGTGAAATTGTACTGTACGATTGTAATGGCTACTTTGAAAATTTCAGGAAATTTGGAGCTTGTTTTAAGTATCAAAATTAGTAATCTTTTTGAGAGAGACAAAAAGAGGGGAACGTGATTAGAGAAGGAATCCTTGGGAGAAAGCTCTTGAGAAGTTTTTAGGGTTTGAGAGAGGAAGGAGAAGGTGAGCTTGGTGAGGGAAAAGAGGTGTGAGGGAGATCACACGGTTGCTCCGTTCTTGCTACATCTTGCTCCTCCTGTGGCCCGGGAAGAACTTGTGGGAGGCTCTCTAAGGAGGAGACTCCTCTGAATCCGTGACCTCGAAGGTACTGTATTAACGTGCATTTAATGCACGTGTAATAAAACTAATATATTAAATGGATCAATGTCTTTTGGATTTCCACAAATTAAATTCATAAATGCATAGATCAAGATAAGCGATATATAATGCAATCAAAAGTCATTTCGTTGTTGATTCGAGCCTGGGTGAGTTGGGATGAATTTCTTCTGTTGACCACTCGGCCGCATACTTGATCTCTTGTACAAGAAAGTTGTTTTAAGAAACAATAAAAAAGTCGTCCCAAACGAAACTGGGATAATTTTCATAATGCTTTACTTTTTAGATTGCAATTATAATTAATATTTGAACACTAATTTTCAGCTACTTAAAAAAAAAATTAAACAACAAATTTACTTTCCACAATAGCTTCCTCTCTAATTTTGTATAGCCCATGATTTTTTTTCTCTAGCAAGACTTTACACTAACTCTCCTGCTGTCCTTAGGGACCTTAGCTTTAATTCTTCGTTAAACTCACGGGAAAAGAATATAACTTTACACTAACTCTCCACCACAATTTTTTACCTTTAAGTAGTGTATATATCTGCATTATGATTTTGAATAATTGCAATGCCATTTTGTTTAAATGAATTATTAATTAAATATAACTATTTTATATATTTTTAAAAAATATATAGAAGCAACATATTTTATTATGTTTAATATTTTGCATATTTTAATTATATTTATTCTGCCATTAATCTTTTATAAAATAAATACTATGGCTGAATATGCAATTTAGTAGAAAGTTTTTCATTAATTAATAAATGATATTTCTATTTGGCGAATTAATTCAAAAATAGTTAGGACTATAAGGAAAAAGTTTATCATTCGAATAAGTCTTGAGATTCATGTTTAATTGAGACGATTTTTTTTATGACTTATTAGGTATAAAGTTATATATACCCTTAAAATTTGTGATTAAAAAACAAAGAAAATTGAATGTCATTTATTTTTATGACATTATAATATTTGCATAACAATTTAATAATTTCAATTATAATTATTTACTTTGACCATATTTTAATTTTATGTAAATATTAACTTTCTTAATTAGACGTACATTTTTAAACTTATTTTTTGATAGGCTAATTCATACTTAAAAATTGACAAATTTATGTATAATATTACACCATATTTATATTTATGTATTTAATATGCTAAAAATTAACTTTTATTCATACCTAAATTATTATTTAGCCAACTTGAAATAGGATTAGTAGAATATTTTGATCACATGCATTTTGTAGAGATAAATTTTTTATATTTGATATGTCCTAAAAAATTTATCTTGATCGGGTACGAATCTCGAGGAAAAAAATTAGTTGGAAACTTCAAAAATTAAATCCGGGAGTACTTGAACTTCGATTTCAGCAAACTTACAGTCAAACTGAGCGTCTCGGAAATACGAACCCAACGACACCAAATTCGACCCAATACGAGCCCAAATGAGTCCAAATCAAGCACCTGATCACGTTCGTCGTCAGACTACAGTCTTTCTGACCTCCGTCGCCCGCCGACTACGGTCCTCCTGACTTATGTCGCCCGCCAACTACAGTCTTTCTGACTTATGTCGCTCGCCGACTACAATCTTTCCGACCTTTGTTACCCGTCGACTACGGTCCTCCTGACTTATGTTGCCCACCGAATACAGTTCTTTCGACCTCCGTCGCCCGCCGACTACGGTTCTCCTGACTTATGTCGCCCGCCAACTACAGTGTTTCTGACTTATGTCGCCCGCCGACTACAATCTTTTCGACCTCTGTCGCCCGTCGACTACGGTCCTCCTGACTTACTTCGCCCGCCCACTACAGTCTTTCCGACCGCTATCGCCCGCCGACTACGGCCCTCCTGACTTACGTCACCCGCCGACTACAGTCCTTCCGACCTCCGTCGCTAGCCGACTACGGTCCTCCTGACTCACGTCGCCCACCAACTACAAGCCCTCCGACCTCCGTTGCCCGCCGACTACGATCCTCCCGACCAAACGAACATGTTAATAGTGATTCTTTGTATTCATATCATGTAATGCAGTCTATAAAATGTACATCAAGCTAAGGTCTTCTCCCAAGGAAAGATCTCATTTGTAATCGACTACAATACTAGTGGATTCATTCAAATTGGGCTAGGCCCCGTGGTTTTTCTCCCTTTTGAGGGGTTTTCCACGTAAAAATTCTTAGTGTCTCATAAATGCTAGACCCTCTCTCTTATCTAATTGCGTGTCCGATTTTCGTACAATGCTAAGACGATAAACTTTATATTTCTCTACCGCCGCGAATACTCCTGGACGACGCAACAATATTAAATCAATTTTTGTTAACTGGAAATAGAATCAATTTTTATATTAAAAGTCACGTTTTTTTATGAGATGCATTTTTTAAAGATATAAATTAATTAGTTTTGAATCAAAATATTTTGTTAAAAATTAAATCAAAATAAAAAATCATACTATAAAAAACTACGTAAAATAAATAAATTCTAATAAATAAAATTTTAGGTAAAAGCTATTTGAAAACATAATATTGATTTCCATTTTACATAATAAATTAATTATTTTAACTAATACTATTTATTTGTTAAATATTAAAAATATGCTAAAAATTAAAAATATTAGTTAAAAATATGCAAAATATTAAGAACAAAGAAATATGCTAAGCCCATATATAATTTAAAAAAATATGTGAAAATTTTATATTCGTCTTATTATCCGATAAAAAATAAAGCATATTATATTAAAAAAAATAATGATTCACATTTAATTCTACAGATAAAATATCGGATCATAGACAGAATATTTTATTCTGTAGGTGATCTAAGGCTATAAAATAGGGTTAAAACGGTCAAATCAAAATTACAAGGGATTTTATTTTTTTAGGCCACCAACGATCCTTTTTTTCTTCTCACTACTTTCTTTCCTAAATTTGTATTCCTCTTCTCCTCTCTCTCTCTGTTTCCGTCCGCTGGTTCATCTGCTTTGTTAACAGGAAAACTTTCGCCTCTTTTATCTGATTTTGCTCGCCGGAGAGGAAGCCATGGGTCGTGCAAAGCTACAGATCAGATACAGAGAAAAACCTAGTGCTCGAATCAACACTTACAAATCAAGGATCAAGGGAATAGAGAAGAAGGCTAAAGAGCTGTCTGTTCTTTGTGGCGTTGATGTCCTGTTCTGCTCTTTCTCTCCTGATCTCAGTGCATTCCATTACTGGCCGAATGAACCATCCGAATTCCATCGCATAATCGACCGTTTTAAGTCCATTTCCTCACAGAAACCACAATGCGAGGTTCCTTCTCCGCCAGTAAATTGGTCGTCTCAAGAAGAGCTCGCTGCAATAAACAAAAAGCTGGAAGATGTGAGACAAATGAAAAAGTTTTTGGAAGCAGAAAAAATGGGTTATTCATCTCAGAAATGTAGAGCGGATTCCATAGGAGCGGATGGCGATTTCTGTCCTAATGCTGCAATTCTTAAAGATGAAGAAGATATCTTCTCTTTACTAGAAGAGCTTGGCCAAGATCTATTCATATCAGATCTTCCTTCAAATTCATCCATTGATGTCTTCAAGGAGAGTTATTTTGACTGTAGGGACAACTTCTTTGATGCTGATCCGGCTGACTTTCAGTTCTTCTAAGATAACTATCTCCCATTAGTTACTGTTCAACATTTTTTTTTTCTTTGTGTTAGGCAAGCAAAAGAGAACCTGTCTTTGTTCTTCCGTCAGTAAAAATATAGTTCGTCGTTTAAGAAGAAAAGCCTTCGCTGAAAGTTCCGTTTCATTTTTTGGCTTAATTCCAAATAATTAATTAAGTGTTTCTTCTTAATTGTTTTAGGGTTTGTGGACTTAAGGTTTAACAGAAGCTAAATAATAGAAATCTTAGTATATGTTTTATACATTAATATTTACCTTAATCAGACTTTGATTTGGTTATATCAACTATTTATTTTTTTAATTAAAAATTATAATTAAAATTTATCGTTTTAACGTTACCGATTATCTTTCTTTAATAAAAAAATGAATAAATATTTTCAAAATGTGCTAAATGTTTAAGATAATCAATTTTTTTTTTCAAAATATATGAAATAATTTATTTTCAATAATAGATCTAAAAATGTCATTATATATGGCTAATAATTTAATAAAAATATATGGCAATAGTTAATAGTTTATTTTTTATTTTTAACAAAAATTTAATAAACATTTAAACAAACATTAATATACAAACACAAAGTTGAAGTAATATGTAACAAAGTTCAAAATTCTTTTGAGGCTTTTCTTCTTTATTTAAAGCATACTTACAAACGAATACTGTAATAGAGGAAAAATTGTAAGCAAAATTAATTGGCGACATCGCTCAATGTATCAATTGTCAACATCGCTACGTTAACGTCATAGTTCCTATGATGTGTTCTACCTATTTCTTTGGTTAGGCTTCCCTTGCCCCACAGAGGCGCTTCCTCTATTGAGGGGGATCCTCTATCATTATTCATTCAAGAAAGAGTTCTCATATCTAAAATTAGGGGCGTCAAAATAGGTTTTTGGGTCGAGTTCGTGTCCAATTTGAAATTAACATAGTTTAACTCATCTAGCTCGAAATTCTACCCGATTAGATAAACGGGATTAGAATTCTGGATCCGAACACGACCCGGATTCAACTTGATCAACACGGCACGACTTGCTGGCCATAGTGCAAAAAGGCTGGCGTAATGCATGAGCGGGGTGAGCTCGATGCATGATCGCAATGTGCAAGCAAGGATAATGGGGTGAGCGCGACAGAGGACAAGGTGAGAACGATTTTGGTTGACTCATGTCAATTTTGGATTTTCATTTTAACTCGAACCCGACCCGAAAATATAATCGACTCAGAATATAAAATCAGAACCTAACCCATTTTCAAAATGGGTTGACCCTAATAGAGAATTTTCATATCGGATTTTAGGATCGTTTGGAATTTTGATAAGTCTAGCGGCCTTCTCGAGTCTCCAGGTGGTGTGTGCATATATATATATTACCCTTTTACATTTTTATCGTAATATTACTTTCCTTTCTTTGTAAATTATTTTTCATGCATTTTGGTTAATCATTTAAAATTCCACGTGGCATGATATGCTGGCTAAACATCCCAACTGTCCGGAAATTTTCTCAATATGTTAGTCAACTTAATAAACAAATTAGCAATTTTAATTGTTTATATTTTAAGATAGCAAATTAACCATTAAAAATAACTAAATTATTGCTGGCCCACTCGAATAGTCGCATGTTTGAATTTTCAAAATAAGATATTAAAATTAATATTAAAGTAATAGTATTTAATAAAAGATTCTAATTGGAGAAGAATTATCTCATCTTCTTTCTAATCGTAATAGAATATTTATGTAATTTTTTTAAGAATTTTAAAGTAATATTATTTATTAAAAGTTTAATTGTTTTTCTTAGACCATTTTTTTCTCAACTGAAATTTCAAAATATTTTTCAAAAATAACTTTTTTAGAAAAAAAAATTAAAATAACAATAGAAAAGCTATCCCCAACATACTGAGATAGTGTTTTTTCTGATTTATAAAATTGTAGAAAAAAGTAAATTTTTTTAAAGTTGTTGTTAAGAATAGTTTTCTAATACATAATTTTTTAAAAAATAATGAAAAAATAGACAAACAAAAATTATGATTATAATTTGAAGAATAAAATAGTACGAAAATTGTTCCAAATAAAACCTAAATCACATTTCAATATAAAACTTATCATCATATTTTTTTACATAACTTTTATCACTTGAGAAAAAATTTAGAATCTTTCTCTTTTTAAATTTAGGCCTAGTTTGAGATAGCTCTTTTACTACTTAAAGTAGATTTTTAGTATAAATAAATTTAATTATATTACAATGATGATAAAAGTTATGTAAACTCACTACTCCCAAACACATACTAATTAGATGTGCAAGAGAATAATTACAGTGAAGAAAGAATTCAATGCTTTTGCAGATTACATAAAATTTATGGATTTTTGCCCCAGGTTGTGAAACCAAAAACAAAAATACATTGTTTAAGTTTGCAAGCATGCTCGTTTATTGAACAAGTAGATTGAGTAGAGACAGATAACATGAATGTTTTATTATCAATATAGCAAATTAATGGATATCTTGACTAAGGCACATTGGTACAGATATAAAGGTAATGGAAATTTCCAGTTAGATCCAGATCTTCAGGACATCAAACTATAGATAAATCATCTGAACAAAACATGAAAAGGTTGGCCATAGACATAGAAGTTGGGTATGAAGTACTTGTTGGGCTTCTTTATGCAACTCTTCTTTCACAAGTACAGGGGCCTCATTCTCTAGAATTGAATCAAGATCCAATCTCATATGTTTTCTCTGTCGAATACCAAGCTGCAAGGTTTAGGTCAAAATAATAGCAATGTTACCTCTGTACTGATATACTGCGTAACCTTTAAAAAAAAAAGGTCCATCAGACATTATAGGCTGACACTTCATACTCCACTTCATTGTGCCATTCTTTGGCTCTTCTGTTAAGTCAGTGCTGTACAATAGGTCCAAAATTATTTTAGAATAGAAATTAGTCAATATTTCATTGCATCATCTTCTCTAAAAGTTAACAATGTGAAAGATACCTTTCTTGACTTAACAATCTTCTTTTCAAGTTTGGCCTTGCAACGTAACTTACTTATTCTTAAAATTCCATAGTATTGCTTTGCATTTACATAAACAGGCTCCTATGCCATTTTGAAGGGTTAAGCCATTAGGGCATGCGGCATTCCAAAAAACAAAACATATATATGCTTGTGAGAACTCAATACAGAATAACCTTTTAAAAAATTTAACTATCTTAAACATAGAGTCTAATTAAAAAAAAAAAAAATAACGTGAACTAAGTCTATACAACTGATTTGCCAAGTTCCAATTGAGTGTGTGCCATTATATATTCCTGCATAATTGGAGCAACAAAGTGAAGATTGGATGAATTTACTGTTCTTCCTATGGGGAAATTCCATCTGATTGTTGATAGAGTTGAAGAGTAAGATATATGAACATCATTAATAAATATTTTTTATCAACTAATGAAATATTATTGGGTTGCAATGAAATAAAGCAGACCCAATATTCTATAATAAAGAAAAATGTCATATTGTATGTAATGTGCTCAGAAAGCACTCAATATTCTTTTATTTAGTTGTTTTCTTTATCCCAACAGTAGAAGAAAAAAATAACATTAAGCTTTAAACTGATGATTCTAGGATGAATTAGTTGCTAGACAAATATAATGATTAAGTCCAAGTGAAAGCATACCTCAATATTGCACTATCAAAATATTGGTGTATTGCAACTGGAGATTACGAGCACTCGCAATGCTTAATAACCTGATGCAAAACATTAACTTGTTATTTTAGTGTTTCGCTTATTTTGAACCTTTTGCGGCCCTCCCTGCATCACGACCTTTAACAGCTTTGCAAGTACATCCCAACTCCTCTCAAAACCGCTCATCTGCATCTCTTGCTAGTTATTTTTAATCAAATTTATTCTCTTATATTTTGTCAACGAATAATGCTATACAAAACTAAAAAGTTGAAATCATTTGGAGAACAGTATGTCAACTCAATCAAGTTTATAGAAACATGCTTTATGCCTATCCATATTTCATATGTCTTTAAAAAGAATGGTTATTATTGCTACTCCCTGTTTAAGTTGATAGGCTATGTACTGCACATAATGAAAATAAATAATATCTTAAATCAATAAACCAATTAAATAAAAATATAAAATGTTTTTTTGGTATCCTATGCAGGAAGGATATATGAAATTCAGCTTAAATCCTATAAAATAAAATTTTAAGAAATTTAAACCCAAATGTTTTTGTAAATTATCTAACCCTCAACCTTTTTCATTCAGGCTTGGGACCAGCATTGGCGGTTTTAAATTTTTTTTGTATAATATTACTGTTGCGTCCAGGACTATTCGCGGCGGTAGAGAAATATAAAGTTTATCGTCTTAGCGTTGTATGAAAATCCGGCACGCAATCAGATAAGAGAAAGGGTTTAGCATTTATGAGACACCAAAATTTTTATGTGGAAAACACCTGAAAAAAGGGGGAAAAACCACGGGACCTAGCCTAGTTTGAACGAATTCACTAGTATTTGCAGTCCATTACAAAATGAGGCCCTTCCTTGGGAGAAGGCCATAGCTTGATGTACATCTTATAGAGTACATTACATGATGTAAATACAAAGAGCTACTATTAACATATTCGCTTTGTTGGAAGGATTGTAGTCGGCGGGCGATGAAAGTCAGGAGGACCGTAGTCAGATGGCGACGGAGGTCGGAAGGACTGTAGTCAGTAGGCGACGTAAGTCAGGAGGACCGTAGTCGGCGGGCGACGGAGGTCAGAAAGACTGTAGTCGGCGGGCGACATAAGTCAGGAGGACCGTAATCGGCGGGCGACGGAGGTCCGAAAGACTGTAGTCGGCGGGCGACGTAAGTCAGGAGGACCGTAGTTGGCGGGCGAAGGAGGTCGGAAAGACTGTAGTCGGCGGGCGACGTAAGTCAGGAGGACCGTAGTCGGCTGGCAACGGAGGTCGGAAGGACTGTAGTCTGACGATGAAGATCAGAAGGACAGCGTCAGGTAGAAGTCCAACAATGGAAAGAAATCCATCTTCGCGTAGACATCTAGTGAAGTCCGATAACCGGTAGAAGTCCGGCGTCGGGTAGAAACTTAGCGAAGGGTGAAGGCCCGACGTGTTGGTGGCAGAGGAGAACTCCAGCTTCACTTGGGTGGAGTTTCAGCGTCAGGAGGGTACTTTGTTGTAAATTGTGAAGAATTTCCACATCCCGTGGAAGTAGGGAAGAATTCTAGCGTTCTCCCAAATATCCGGCAAAATCCCGGCGTGTTCGGGCGGCGGGAAGAGCTCTGGCGGTGGTCGAGGAGGAGAGGATTCTCCTTTTCCCCTTTCTCCTCTTCTTCTCTTCTTCTTCTTTCTCTTCACTTGAGTCCCCTTGGTGTAGAATGAGGGCTCTATTTATAGTTTTTATGGAGTGGCATAGCCCGTAAATAGGCGTGAGATCAGGGGCGAATTAGGAGTGGTTTGAATGGACGTCCGATATCGAATCCTTTGATCATGCACCGTTCGTTGGACATTTGGAGGCTTTAATTTTGTCGGAATTCGACGATCTTGGGCTTGTTGGTTTCGTCTCGTCGAGCCGCTCGATTCGAGTATAAGCTCATTAAAATCGGAGACCGTTTGGTAACTCAAATTGTGGTTTGAACATTCCAACAGCGCTTTAGGTCCTTGATTCGGACCCATTTGGGCTTTGATTAGGTCGAATTTGGTGTCGTTGGATTTGTATTTCCGAGACGCTCAGTTTGGCTATAAGCTCGCCGAAATCGGAGTTATATGCTCTTGAATTTAATTTTTGAAATTTCCGAACTGATTTTGCCTCGAGATTTGTGCCCCATCAAGATAATTTCATGATAACGTATCAATTACTTTTAAATTAACAAAATGAATTGTTCTTAAGAAGCAGAAACAATTAAAAACAGAAGAAAAATCAACTTAGATGAAAGTTGAATGTTTTAACGTATTAATGAAAAACTTGAACAATAGGAAGTATAAATGAACCATGCTTTAGACAGTTTATCATTTTTCCAAAAACAAAATAAAATTGATGTTGACGTCTCAAACATAAATTACAAAAATAAAAAATTTTACAATTCCCAAGTTCATTTAAAAAAAAAATTCTAAGAAATGTGAAACAAAATTAGCATTATATAGTAAGTAATACGTTACCTCTCTCTCTCTATCTCACTTTTTATTTTTCTTTATTGCAGGTTATAACAGCTTTAAAAGTTTATGACATTAGTTAGATTTGAACATTATGTTGTATATATTTTTTTAATAATTAACTTTCTCTTGAACGTGCCACATGTTTTAACTCCTACTAAACTAATTTCTCATTTTGTCTTCTTATGCTTTACTCAAACATAAAAATTAAATTATAAATAAATTTCGATTTACTTATCTTAAACATAATGGGTGGTATTTTTATCAAATTATTTGCTTAAATCCATGGACCACAATGACGACATCCTGAAACAAGTCATGAAAAGTTAATTCGAGATACAAAACATCTTATAATGTAAATAAATAAATAAAAGAATACTAAAATAATTACATGATTATATTTTATCACACAAATTTTCTTCTAATAAAATCTAAAATTTTAATGATTTGGACTAAATTCGAATTAAGATTTCATTTGGAATAAATTTCTTAATGTTTTTTAAATCAGTTTTTTTATACAAAAATTTCTTGAGATTGAAATTTTTTACTAAAAAATTAATTTCAAAAGCAGCAAGAAAGTTGTATCAAATAAAGCATAAATCTTACTAACGAGTAGCAAACAATCAACCCTAACTCTCCGATATATTAGCAAAACCGAAAGGAATTGTGGAAGGATTGGAGCTTTTCATACGATGGATAGGGGATGAAAATACTAATTAAATGGGAGGCATTTTCATCTAAATATTTGCTTAAATCCATGGACCAAAATGAAGGCAACATGATACAAGTCAAGAAAAGTTAATTCGAGATGCAAAATATTTTAGAATATAAATAAATAAAAAAAGAATACTAAAATAATTACATGATTATATTTTATAAAATAAAACAACAAACAAATTTCTACTAATAAAATCCAAATTTTAAAGAATTAGACTAAATCCGAATTAAGATTTCATTTGGAATAAATTTCTTATTGTTTTCTAAATCAATTTTTTGATAAAAAAATTTTTTGAACTGGAAGTTTTTTATTAAAAAAATAATTTGAAAAGCAGTAAGAAAGTTGTATCTAATGAAGCCTAAATCTTACTCAGGAGTAGCAACCAATCAACTCTAAATCCCCGATATTAGATCAAGTGAAATGAATTATGGAATAGGGGATGATAATACTAATTAAATATGTGACATTTTCATCAAATTATTTGTTTAAATCCTTTATACCCATGATGTAATAATAAAGGTAATCGTAAGGACTTAAAAATTGGGAATTGCGACAAAAATGAGAAAAGTAGAGCTCGTAGCATGGAGGATCAAAGAAAAGCAAAAGAAAAAGCAGAGTGAAAGGGAAGAAAAAAACAGGAAGTTAATTAAGTAATAGAAACAAATAAACAGTTGAGACCATAGGCAAGTAAACATATATAAATACAGGCATAGGATCCCTCTAGGTAAGCAGTCAAATTCACCTGTGAGGAAAAAAAAATGGAGCTCTTACAGATAATCAACAAAATATCAAAACATCAGGTCGAAATACGATCAACATTCTAAAATTTTGGTGAAAATCGTTCGAACCGATGCCGAAAATCAGTTGGCTTTCTCGAGTAAAGAAGAATAAAAGAAGAACATAAGAAATAACACAAATGACGATGCATAAGAAGAAGGAAAGCAGAGCAGTTCTGTAAGCCAAGATAGTCTAACCCAATAATCCCCCCAAAAAAAAGTGAGGCAAGCTTTGAAAATTTCATTCCACTGAGATGGACGAGTTTTTTTTAGGAGAAACTATCAATATAAACCAACCACAGAAAAAAAGCACTTTTTTATAAGGATAGAGAATAGAAAATAGCTGCAGTGGTTTGCTTGAGCCTACAAGTGAACATAAGAAGACCAGTACCGTTCATCGGTCTGATCACAGACTAGAAAGGAGGTGTTGCTGATCTTGAGCTCAACGCAGATGATAAGCGGTTCGTCCTGCTCGGCTTTGCGCTTGGGATGATTCAAGCGAATATGTTCCTAGGCGCCAAAAGCGGCCTTATAGAACTTCACCGCTTCATTCGCCTTCGATCCTGGAAGCATCAGCTGTGCCTTGAAAGGTGCTAAGTGTAAGCGAACAGCCTATGCACCTTGTATTTACGGCTTTGCCCTCCGTCTTTCTATATATATATTCATGTATAGCATAATGAGTCTCAGTTTTATATTTTCTCTCAATACAATTTACTCTGTTTTCCTTCCTTGTTCTCATTCTTCTTTTCTTCCTATGTTATGTTCTTTCATGGTATCAGAGCACGTATGGAGGATCAAGAATCAACAAACAACCACCCTCCCTCCCTCTCGGTCCTCTCCGGCAACTCCTCCACCGACCTCGTCATACTGGCGCCCCTCAAATTCTTTATCTCCAACATCAAGAACCTCATACCCCACGCCCTCACCACTGACAATTATGCCATATGGTGCATTCAAACTCTTCAACAGTTCTCCGTCAATGGGTATGCTGGACACCTCAACGGCTCAACTCTTCCTCCCTCCGATGAACTGTCACAAGAATACCAAAAATGGCAACTCGTGGACAACAATCTGCTCTCAGCCTTGTTCTCCACCATCTCACCATCCATACTCCCCTACGTGATCACCTCCACCACCGCCCACGAGGTATGGCACATTCTTGAACGTCAGCTACAGCCCACATGTCGTTCTCGAGTTTTTCAACTCAAGAATGAACTGTACCATCTTCAAATAAAAAATCTTACCATGCAACAATACCTTACGCAAATTAAATCTATCGTCGACAACATTGCCGCTTCCGGCTCCAAGGTTGACGCAGAGGACATCATCCTTCACATCTTAAATGGCCTACCGCCCTCCTAAAATCCATTCAAAATGGCCATACGCACATCCCTCCTTCCTATCAATCTAGACACGCTCTACTCTCTCCTATGCAGTGAGGAAATTAATCTTAACCAAGAAATGGCCAAAGAATCCATGACCAGCTCCGGCGCAACTGCTCTTAACACCTCCAATTACAATTCAAATCGTGGAAGGATTCAGAATTTTTTTTTTCAAGAACAAGAATTCCTCTACTGGCCAGCCTCCGCAAGAAGCAACTCCGGGAACACAATTTTCTACAAATTCTACTCGACCCACATGCCAAATTTGTGGCAAGGTAGGTCACATTGCCATCAACTGTTGGCATAGGTGCAACCTCAAATATGCACCCACAAATCCTAGATCGCAGTCAGCACTTCTTGCTCAGCCCAACCCCGTCGATTCTCAAGAATGGATCCTTGACACTGGCGCTTCAACCCACCTAACTCCGGACGTTAACAACATTCAGTACCTCAACCCATACCACGGCCCCGACAGCGTCTTGATCGCAAATGGATCAACTCTTCCTATTCAGCACACTGGTTAGGGCCTTCTTCCTCTACCCGACACCCCTCATAAGCTTCATTTAAACAAATGACTTCATGTTCCTACCATAGCTCATAATCTCCTATCTGTCTCAAAATTAACTGCTGACAATCCAATTTCTATAAGTTTTGACGCTAATGATTTCGAACTTAAGGACACTCAGGAACATCATCATCTTCTTCGTGGAAGTCTTCGTAACTACCTATACCACATTCGGACTTCCACGGACACTCCTCACATGGCTCATCATGCAACTCTCCCCACGACTCAACTTTGGCATGCCAGATTAGGCCATCCGCACCATCGTCTATTTTCTACTTTAGCTAAACACATATCAGATGTCCAACACAATTCTCATTCATTCTTGTGCAAATCCTGTAACCTGGCAAAGAGCCAGAAAATGCCATTTAATAAAAACGAATATGTTTCTTCTTTACCATTCGATCTTATTCACTCCGATGTGTGGGGACTCGCTTCTATCCCTTCTCTGGCAAGTTTTTGATACTATGTGGTTTTTGTAGATGATTATACTAGATTTACCTGGCTTTATCTAATGCATACCAAGCAAGAAACTTTTTCAAAATTTAAATCACTTTGTCAAATTATAAAGACTCAATTCCATACCACACCTAAAATTTTTCGTTTCGATGGTGGCGGTGAATACACAAGCACAAAATTCAATTCTTTCTTGAAAGAACATGGAATTCGTCGTCAACTTAGCTGCCCGCACACCCCCGAACAGAACGGCTTATCAGAATGAAAACACAGACATCTGCTCAACATCATCCGCACCCTTCTTCATGCCTCCACCCTGCTTAGCAAGTTTTGGGCAGAAGCTCTCTCTACCACAAACTACTTAATCAACCGACTTCCCTCCACATCCATTCAACTCCAAACACCTTACCAATGTCTACATCGCCAATTCCCAAAATATAACCACCTCCGCACTTTCGGCTGTTTATGCTTCCTTTGGCTACAACCGTATGCTGACTACAAACTATCTCCGTGGTCAAGGGAATGCATTTTCATAGGATACTCCTCCGTTCGCAAAGGCTACAAGTGTTACGACCTCTCTACCAACAAGACTTACATTTCCCGTCATGTCATTTTTTATGAACGCAAATTTCTTTATCAAGAACACAATCCCACGTCTACTTCAATTCAGACCACAAATTCAAAATCCACTTCACCACTTCTACTTGTCCCGACTTCAGCTACCAGGACAACACCAACTACTCCCTTTCATCATCCAAACAACATGTCTCATCCCAATACTACCTCTGGAACGCATGATGAAACCATAGGTTCATCTTCAACTCAAGTACCTGCTTTCCCGATCGAACTCTCCCCACCACCTCAATCCTGTCCTTCTCACCATATGCAAACTCGTCTAAAGTTTGGAATCTCCAAGCCTAAAAGAATTCTATCTCTTGTCAGTCACATCCCCTCTTCCTCCACACCAATAACATATAATCAAGCAGTTAAGTTTGATCACTAGCAGCAAGCTATGGTTGCTGAAATTCAAGCTCTTCAGAAACAAGGAACTTGGACTCTTGTTCCATCACCTCCTAAAACACCTATCCTAGGGTGCAAATGGACCTTTAAAACAAAACTTCATCCGAACAGACAGATAGACTGCCATAAAGATCATATGGTTGCTTTGGGATACGATCAAAAGCTCGGGATTAACTACAATGAAACCTTTAGTCCGGTCGCCAAAATGACGGCCATTTGCATTCTTCTAACGATTGCTCTCAATCGGAACTCGAAAACACTTCAACTAGATGTCTCAAATGCTTTTTTGCACGGAGATTTATCTGACGACATTTACATGCGCCAACCAACTTGTAACATCAAAATCTGCTCCAGGATCGTCCGGGCCGATCTGGATCGTCCCAGAACGATCAGTGCAATTCTATTTCAATTTTCTGTCCAGAAGTTATAGGAAAATTTCCTGTATGGATCGTCCAGGCCGATCTGGGATCGTCCTGGGACGATCAGTGTATGGCAAAAGTCAGAGAGCAAATCGTCCTGGAAATTAATTATCATCATGAGAAATCGTCCCAGGCCGATTCAGTTTTGTTCAGATCGTCCAGGATGATCGTGCGATCGGCCGGGCCGATCTGTGTATTTTAAAGCTGAAATTAGTCATTTGAAGAGAGAGAAAATCATAAAATATCTCAAAATTCAGCTGAGGATAGAGAAAGTCGAGGGCTAAATTGGAAAAGTTGATTTTCGGGCGACGCCGGGCCGTTTTCGTTTGACGAGATTGTTCGAGAAAGTGTTGTACGCAAGGTATGACACATTCCGCCTTTCTCAATTTTCAGAACGGTGCAATTTGAACGACTTTTATGTCCGGATTTTGTTTTTGTTAACGAATTTCGTCCGTATTTTC